GCAGAAGACGAAGGAGAATGGCTCAAACATGTTTCTTATGTGATTCAAGGTCCTGGGAAAAATCAAGATATCATCCAGATACACAAAAGCATTGACATTAATGTAGTCTCTTAATACATCATTGACCAGAGTTTGAAATACAGCTGGAGCATTGGTGAGACCAAAGGGCATGACCAGGTATTCATAGTGACCAGTAATTGTGTTAAATGCCGTTTTCCATTCATCTCCCTCTCTGATTCAAACAAGGTGGTAAGCATTACGAAGATCTAATTTGGTGAAGTTCTTAGCATTTTGAATTTGATCAAAGGCTGAACTCATTAGAGGTAGATACTTCTAATACCGGTGTTGTGGCTATTCTCAGTCAACGTTCCGCAGATGAAAAAGTCAACCCTTGTGCCTTTTCTCTAAGTCCTTGTCCCCTGCAGAAAAGAATTATGATGTCGGCGACCGGGAGTTATTGGCAGTCAAATTGGCCCTCGAGGAGTGGAGGCACTGGTTGGAGGGGGCCAAACACCCTTTCATCATTCTCACTGACCATAAGAACCTTGAGTACTTGAAGACCGCCAAGAGACTCAACTCTCGACAAGCCAGGTGGGCTCTGTTCTTTTGCAGATTTAATTTTGCCCTTTCTTACAGACCCCGGACTAAGAATATCAAGCCTGATGCTCTCTCCCGAGTTCATGAGTCTGACCAGACCAGTGGCAACCAGGGAGGGTTAATTCTGCCGGACTCCGTTCACATTGCCATTACTTAAGTCGAGAGGATGGTCAGGGAGGCCCACCAGAACCATCCCCCAAAAAGTGATTGCCCGGATGGTAAGCTCTTTGTTCCAGACCACCTGGTACTACAAGTCCTCAGCTTTTGCCATGCTTCTCGTCTTTTCTGCCATCCAGGTATAACCAAGACCCTTGGTATAGTTAGGTCCCAGTTCTGGTGGGGTTCCTTGGAAAGGGACGTTGGGTTATGTGTTGGGTCCTGCACCCAATGCTCCCTGGCCAAACCCTCTCGACGTCCTCCAGCGGGTCTCCTGAGACCACTCCCCATTTCTTCACGCCCATGGTCACATTTTGCTATGGATTTTGTCACTGGCCTGCCACAGTCTGGCAGGCCAGTGACATTTCTTGCAAGGTCTTGCTGGAATTTTTATGAAAAACAGGCTGGTCCTAATTTCATGAAGTAATTCCTACAATTTGGTGGAGAATGCGGGCAAGAAATGCTAATTAGATATGAAATAATGAAACACCCCTCTGATCATGAATGAGAAAAGAACTTGTGGTCTTGTCAGATTTCTCAAATAAAGTAATTTATTTTAGATATATGACCAGAATAAACATACAAACATTTCTTAAAATATTATATGAATAAAAACACAAGTTATAATAACGGCACAAAAAATTTCAC